ACCAAATATTTCCGAAGTTGTTTTGATTACTTTACAAAATATATTAAAAGCGGAAATTAATTTCGTAAAATGTAATAATATAAATGCTATCGATATTTCTGTTTTTTGGTATTTGGCTGGTGTCTGTGCGGACTTTTTGATTAATTTCATTGATCATTTTTGAAAAATACTGAGCAACTTCTTGACTATTCGCAAAATTTTCTTTTTCCAGTTTAGAAAGTCAATTTTTAGTTTCCTTCTCAGATAAATTTTTCCCTTCTAAATAAGCACTAATCACTTTTTTGGAAAAGTTTACAGCCTCTTCTACTTTTTCCACTTTTTTCAAAAGTTCAACGATGGAATTTGTCACCTTTTTTTCATCAATTAAGTATTTTTTGTTCTTAGGAAAATCAGCAATCTTCTTAGCAAGTTTTTGAAGAGATTTTTTGATTTTTCCTTGTAAATCCTTGAGATTAGATTCAAATCCCTCAACTTCTTTTACTAAAGAGTCAATGTCATCATCTTTCTCTTTATCCTCCTGCTCAGTATTTTCATCCAACTGTTCCTTGACAGTTTTAAATATTTCTTGAAGATATTGTCTTATTTGATTTTCTTTTGCTTTTCCGAAATCTTTTTTACTTTTTATTTCTTCATTTTCTTTTTTTAGTTTAGAAAAAATTTCTTGGAACAACTTTTCTCTTTTGTCATCAGGGGCTTCTCCACAAACCTCTTTTAAAAACTGATAATCATTTTTTCGGAGAAGTGCTTCTAACTCATCAAATCACTTGTCAATAGGATTTTTATTCTTATGAAGAAATTGCCACCTGCCTAATGAGTCTAATGAAACAAGTTTGAAAATTGGATCAAGAAAGGCTGAATCGCGAAGTCTTTCTAAATCTTTATTTAATTTTTGCTCTTCCGAGTAATTTTGTTCTCTTTCCTCCAATTTGCTTTTTAATAACTCGCACAACTCACTTTTTCATTTGTCTAAACGCAAGTTTTCGATTTCAAGAGGGTCAACATATTCACTATTTTCAATTTTCCTTTTTAATTCTTGATATTGTTGTTTCTCTTCCTCAGTGCCATTTTCTAATTCTTCTTTGGCTTTTCTTTCTTTTTCTTCTTTCTCCTTTTGTTCCTTTTCTGCTTGTTGCCGAGCCTGTTCCTCCTGTCGTTCTTGCTCCTTCTGAGCCATCTCTGCTAAGTCATTTTTACGCTTAGTTCAAGCCTCATTTAAAGCAATTTTAGTTCGAGGATTATCCAGAAAAGTCCAATCCAGATTGTTAATCCGCTGAGTATAATCAGCATTTTGGTTATTTTCAGCCTTGATTTGATTTAGCAAGTTATCATAAGCATTTTCGGCATCCTGTTTTGCCTTATTTGTCAGGTAATTTTTACGGTTATTTCAAGCATTAATTAAATTATCTTTGGTTTGCGGACTAGTTAAACGAGTTCAATCTAGACCATTGATAAGTAAAGTGTAATTGACATTTAGGTTGGTTTCTTTTTTAATTTTCTCTGCCAAATTATTGTAAGCAGTATTAGCTGCGTTTTGGGCTTGAACCTCATTTGCTTTAAAATTATCAATTAAACCTATTAAATGGTCCTTTTGAGTGTTAATTTCATCCTCAGTAGTTTTAGTGTTAAAACCTGCTTCTCAATTTTCACCTATTGCTTCTTTTATTTCAGCACTCTTTCTGATTAAGCCAGCGAGAGTATTATTTCAATAATCTTTGACCTCAGTAATAGCCGTTTTTTGTCAAGTTATATAATTATTAGCATATTTTTTTAATATTTCTAATTCTCATTCAATAATTTCTTTGGCAAAATATGGTTTTTCGGAGTTAGTACGCTTGCTAAATCCAAATTTGTCCTCAGGTGGTAATTTACTATATTTTATTCCTTCTTTATCAAGTTCCCCATTCTTCCCAGCAATTCATTGAAAAAAATTATTATTAATTGCTTTAACTCTTGCTTTTAAATCCTCATCGCTTCCTCCTGTTGTCAAAACTTTTTCACAAATAGTTCTAATTATTTTAAAACGAGCAGTTTCAAATTCCCCTCTATTATTGCTTTCTTTTAAATTTTTTTCAATCTCTTTAAACTCTTCTCCAATTTTATTTTTAATCCTTCTTAAAACGGGTGGAATTTTGGATTCTCCTACTTCTTTAAATAAATTAAACAACAAATTATCTAAATAAATGATAAATTGGTTTTTAGTTTCTTCGCTTACTGCTGATGGGTCAACAAAAATTTCTGTATTTTCTTCATGCGTCTCAGGAGTTTCATCTTCCGTTCAATTGTTTAAGCGAGTAATTAAATCCTCTATTTTAATTTTATTGTCATTTTGGATATTCCGACTAATTACCTCGCTTGGATAGTCGTAGTCTTCAATTTTATAACAATAACCATATTTTACTAGTTGAACAGTTTGAAAAATTTTTTTAACTTCTTCTGCAACTCTACAATCAACACCTATTAATTCACTGAAAAAAGTAAGTTTTTGCCTATTTAGTTTAATTTTTTGTAGTTCTTGGTCAAGAAAAAAAGTAGAAAAGGTCAAAAAATATTTATCACTAGTGGGTAATTGCTTACTACCTCTAATTATTTCAAATTTCTCATATTCCATACAAGGATTAAAATAGAAACTCGTTTTTCCTTCGTCTGCTTTATAGGTACCCTTTCATTCAAGAATAACTGTTTCTTTCTTTTCTTCTAATCCTTCAAATTTAATTGTCTCGTCAAGGTATTCTCCGGAAAAACGATTGATAAATTCATTAATTTCTTCTTGCTTATTTTCTACTTCGTCAGCAAGGACTTTTTCACCATTTTCTAATCATTTATTTAATTCTCTTAATAATTTCCTCTTTTTTTCTCGCCTTTGTTTGGCTTTTTCTTGTAGTGGTTTAACTTCTTGAATAATTCCAAATAGTATACTTTCTTTATCTGAAATAAGTGACAAAATTTTCTCTTTCCTTTCCCCTGAACTCGAAACTCTTAAAACTTCCTCTTCTAACTTTCTATAACATGAATCATATTCATCACCTCCTTCCAAATTATCTAGTTTATTGGTCATAACTCACCACTTCTGTCTTCCCCTTCAAAATTACTTAATGGACTAGCAGAATTAAAGCAAATCTCTAAAT